GATCGAAAGTTCTTGGGCAAGATTTAATTAATTACTGTGTTCGATATTTGCCTTGTATACCATCAAAGTTTAATCAAAAATTGGCTTGAACACTGGCTTGAATCCGAAGATATCCTTCCCAAATCTTAATATGGGGATGCTCACTTCACTAGTTTCCTCTGTTCAGGTCAATTTCACAAATCAAGAATCAACAGCTGTAGCATTTATAGATGTAACCTCTGCATTGGATATCATAATTTTATATATTCTACATAAGAAATTGTTATATCTTGGAATGTCAGTTAAAATTCCAGATTTCATTATATCCTTGTACAAGAATATACGGACTTACTTAAAAATAAATTAGACACTTTTAGCGCCAAGCCTAACCAAAATAGGTATACCACAGGGTAGTATTTTAAGTCCACTTCTCTTTTTATTGTATAATACGAGGTCTGGCTATTAACTAACAAGACTGCGCGCGCAGAAGGCGTCCTAGAGGGGTAGGGTGGGAAACGAATGCAGCGTTGGATAGCTGGAAGTGTCTACTCTTTCAGTACGAAAACACGTTTTTGTCGCTGTAGTAGTATTTTTTCTGTAGAGGTTAAAAACGAACGTGTTTTTTTTTTCGTGCCGATAACAATGTGTGAGGAAAAACACGAGCAACGGATCAATGTGAAATTTCTCGTTAAATTAAAAAAAACTCCGACTGAGTGCTATAAGTTGTTGAAAGAGGCCTGTGGTGAGAATTCTCTATCTCGTGCGAGTGCTTTCGAATGGTATAAAAGGTTTTCTGAAGGTCGAGAGAGCACCGAGGATGACCAACGTCCAGGTCGACCTGTCTCTGTTTCAACTCCGCAAATAGTGACCAAAATAAATGAAATTGTGCACGTAGATCGTCGTATGAGTATTCGGATGATTGCTGAGACTGTAAACGCCAATAAAGAAACTGTCAGAAAAATTTTACATGACGAATTGAACATGAAGAAAGTCTGTGCGAAGTTGGTCCCAAAAAATTTGACCCCTGACCAAAAGCTCGTCTGTCAACACATCTGCTCAGATTTTCTTCAGCGGTTAGATAAAGAGCCTGAATTGATGGAAAACATCATCACTTGCGTTAAAACCTAGATATTCCAATACGATGTTGAAACTAAGCGGCAATCCATGCACTGGAAAACTCCTGCATCGCCGAGAATGAAAAAAGCAAGGATGTCGAAATCAACATTTAAAGCCATGCTAATCGTTTTTTTTCGACATCAACGGCATCGTGATGACTGAATGGGTTCCAGAGGGTCAAACTGTAAACCAAACTTACTATTTGAAAGTTTTGGCAACGCTTCGAGAGCGAGTTTGTAAGAAACGGCCGGAGTTGTGGAAAAACAAATCGTGGATTTTGCACCAGGACAATGCACCTGCCCATAACACATTGTCTGTGAAGCGTTATTTAGCCGCTAGAGGCACTCCAGTGCTCGAACACGCGCCGTACTCGCCTGATTTAGCACCCTGTGACTTTTTCCTGTTTCCAAAGATCAAGTCTGTCTTAAAAGGAACCCGGTTCGAGTCGATGGAAGAGGTGAAGCGAAAATCGGCGGAGCTCCTAAATGCTCTTACAAAAGAAGACTTCCAGCATTGCTTTGACCAATGGAAAAAACGAATGGAACGGTGTGTGGCGAGGGAAGAGGAGTATATTGAAGGGGAGCATTCGATTGTAGAATAATTTTTAAAATTAAACTCTTTTTCATAATCAGTCTCGTTATTTAATAGCCAGACCTCGTATAGATCTAGAATAGATAGTACCTCCACACTCTCATATATTACAGTTTGCAGATGATCTTGTGTTGTATACCTCCCATACTACCCTAGACATTTGTAGGCGTCAACATAAATCTACACAGATTGTATAAAAAATGATTACCATTCTCTAGGCATATCAATATCAACTACAAAGACTGAAATTTGTTTTATTTTTTCAAAAAACGCCAAACTCCTCAATCAAGGTAACTTCAAATTAGGAAAAATAGAATTTCCAATCAAAAATTGTGTAAAATATCTAGGCACATATTTGGATCGTAAACTGTTATGGAAGGATCAAATTCATTCTATTATAAAAAAATCCGAAAACTCCATGAATATCCTTTTGAGCATTTTGTAAACCCAGTTGACCTGAATATTGCATTGCTATTCTATCGCTCAATGATTCGACCAATTTTCGACTATAGTTGTCATTTATATGGATCTGCGACGACAGAACATCTTAATTAAATTAAAACCCAAAATAATAAATGTTTGAGGCTATTTCTTGGTACTTAAAATCTACTCCTATTAGTATTATTGAAATTGAAGCTAAAGAGCCACCCCTTGCACTACGCAGACAGTTTTGTACAGATAAGTTTGTAGCTAGAGCTATATCAAAAAACTTCAGCTATTTAAAAAATATTCGTAACTTGAATATATTAGACTTAAGCGACAAATATTGGCGTAACAAAAAAACTCCCATATACGTTGAAAGTTCTAGGAAATTGACAATATTTGAAGAACAATTGTATCAAAATAAAATACCACCGATTTATACTCAACCTCCTAAGACTCTTTCTCTAAGATAATAGAAACATATTATATGGATTCAAATCTACCAGGAAGTATGATCAACAAAATAATGAAAGATAAGTTGTCTGCATTTCAATATATTTTTACTGACGGCTCCAAAATTCAAAATAAGGTTGTGCAAGATATCACTGGAATTATGATTACAAAGAAACATGTCGATTACCCAATAAAGTTTCAATATATACTGCCGAACTATCAGCTTTATTACTTTCGTTAAAATATACCTCCATTGGTATGAATAACTATATCATTCTGAACGATTGCAGAAGCATTGTGGATAAACTCACTTTATAAAAACCACAAAAAACCTAAACAACGTTGAGATAGAAATAAAGAGGTTACATTATGATATTATTTCGGCAGGTACAAGTAGCTCGATTATTATTTGTTGGGTAAAAGGACACTGGAATATTATGAAATGAAGAAGTCAACAAATTAGCTAAATCTGCAGCTTTAACCAAACATAATTTAAACAATATATTTTACCAGTAACAGACCTAGATAATATCAGTAGAAACAATTGCAAACAAAGATGGTAACGTTTAACAACCAAATTACAACTGGAATAAACTTTAGAACTTGCCAACCACTAATACACAATGAGAGATGGTTTAAATATGAGACAAATAGGTTATTTACAAAAACAATAACCAGAATAAGATCAAACCACGCACTCACTCCTGCATAACAAACACAGCTAGGTATCACTGATAACCCATATTGCACCTGTGGTAAAGTGGAAGATCTACAGCACCTTATATTGAAGTATGGACAGTACAAAGTATAAAAATGATGTATGAGAAACTAATTGAGCTAAACTATCCATTGCCTGTCAATTTGAATACAATTATTTAAATTCTGTAAGTCCTGTAAATTTAAATTATAAGTAGTTTTAGGTATTAAAATTAAACCTTGTAAATATGTCAAAAATTGAATGTGTATACGAACAGATTACTTCCTATAAATTTATATTTCGCTGTCCCAAAACATCCACTAACCCAACAATAATTCATCAATCATACCATGAAATAATATCCCTAAATCCAAATTCTAAAAATCTCTACACTGATGCATCAAAAACTCAATCAGGACTAGCAGCGGCTTATATACATGGAGCAGACCACTATAAAATACGACTCCCTCCGAGTTGTAGCATATTTTTTTGGAGAAGCAATGGCTATTTTAGAGGCACTGAAAGTTTGCAGAAGAAAATCCGCATCTCATTATGTTATAATATCTGACTCATTAAGTACACTAAAAGCTTTACAGTAATTGTATCCATCAAATGAAATTATAATGCTAATAAAAAACGAACTCATACTACTATCAACAAAAAACATAGAAATAACTTTTTTATGGGTGCCATCACACGTGGGAATCAAGAGAAACGAAGCAGTGGACCAACTTGCGAATGAAGCTGCACTAGATGAAAGCATCCCTGTGTCACACATGATAACAAGAAACGACCATAAAACCTCTATTAAAAAACATATTACCAACTTATGGCAGTGTAACTGGAATTCCACATCCAATAAATTAAAAGATGGTATAGAAACTGTCGGCACCACCTTACCACTCTCACTCAAACGTTGTGAACAAGTGATAATAATTCGACTACGATTAGGACATACTATACCAACCCGTATTCACTTAATAAATAAAGAAGCCTTCCCTTTCTGCCACAACTGTAAGATCCAAATAACTGTGAAACATATTCTGTTAGAATGCAAAACATACACCCAAGAAAGAAGAAAAAATAACCTCTCTACCAACATGAAGGATCTACTAAGCTACCAGTTCAACAAAGTGCTGAAATATTTGAAAGACATTAAATTTTACAGTGTTTAATAGAACATATTTAAGTTATACATATATATACATTGTAAGAAATTGTACTTGTAATTTGTGTTTGTACCCCCAGCTAATAACTCTTAGTTGATGCAGGGTTATTTTTGTTTAAATAAAAAAAATAGATTATAAAAAGGCTTAGGTAATAAAATCAAAATTGTAAATACCACACATGGTCTTGCTAATTGGCTATGCCAAAGCCATTATAGAAAAAATAAAAAAAGCATACTTCTATTCTATTCTATTCTATTTATTACATTACCCCATCAATTATTTCACTTTACGCAACCATGCGGGGAAAGTGAAAACAAAGACAAAGGCACGCATAACAAAAAATTTACTGACTTAATTTTTAATTTATATTTCGACGTAATTATTTTAAACGTTACTGTAATAAGATGAGATTTTTACAAAATATTATTTCGAAAATTGTAAAATTTATATAATTTCAAAGTTTAGCTATTCCACTTTACCCCACTTACCCCTACTTCTCTTTAATATCCTTATTCCAAGTTCATGATATAAATAATTTTGACTAAAATGTTACAAACAATGAAACAAAAACACAAAATTGTATTATTTATTCGATTAATATTAAATACACATGTTAAGCATTATTCTTGGCAGCAATAGGATTATTTTTTAACTGAAGACGTGAAAGCGGAAGACCATTGAGGGCATCACGATCAATTTTAGTTATTAAATTATTTTCCAAATTAACTTGATCCAATGGTAGACTGAACATCCTCCTCCTAACTTCTTTAAGTTTGTTCACGCTCACATCTATGAAACTTAAATCCTCGATATCATCAAAAGCACCTTCTTCTATTTCAGTAATCTCATTTTCACTTAAATTAATAGTGTAGACCGTAACATTACGGAGAAGTCCTTTTTTAATCGATTTTATGTGATTTTTACTTAGGTCCAACATGTCGATTTTAGTATTTTTGAACACACCAATATCGATATTTGAAATACCGTTTTCACTCAAAGATAGACCATTTAAATTAGTATCGAGGGAGCCAAGAGTGGACAGCTTTAAATCTCCAAGATTGTTATTAGCTAACTGAACAAATGTTAGCGTCGAAAGACCAGCTAAAGCTCCTTTATCAATTTTTGAAATTTTGTTATTAGTGAAATCCAATAAAGAGATGGGTACCTTATAAAACACTCCCTTAGCAATATGAGTCAATTGGTTACCTGCAAAATAAAGCCAGTAGATCCCAGAACCGCCAAAACATCCAGGTTCAAGTGTTTTAATTCGGTTTCCGTCCAAGTGCAATTCGTTCAAATTTGTCAAGTTGCTAAAAACGTGTCCAATAACTTCCAGTTGATTGCCGCTTAGGTCTAATTTGTTCAAATTATCGATTTTACCAAAAGTGCCATCTTCTATATTACTTATTACGTTTGATTGTAAGTTAAGATTTGTTATATTTGAACCAATGAACATTTTGGACGTTAGTTTTTCCATCTTGTTAAAGCCCAAGTCTAGTATGTTGATAGTTGCACTGTCAAAGGCGTCATCTTCTATATTAGATATAATGTTATTCTGCAAAGCAAGTATATTAAATGATTTTTTGTTAAATATACCTTTTCTTATTCTTGCAATTTGGTTCTCATACAACATTAGGTTAACCATAGAAGCCCCATTGAATGCACCAGGTTCAACATCTTGTACTTGGGCTCTAATAATGTGGAGTTCTTTAACACTGATTCCATTCAGAAAATTGTTTGGTATTACTGGAACATTTTGTTCTTCAATTTCAATGTCTTCTAGTTCACCTCTGTGGGCTACATTTTGCTTTAACTCAACAATTGAATTAATTGTTATATTAACTACGTCTGAATCTTTAAATAGTTTCACAGAAATATTACTACAGTTGACACAAATTAACAACGTGGATATCACTATTAGCACTTTACGCAACATTTTTACGAATATGATAATTTTGTACCTCATGTTACCAAATTTATACCGGATTTAATGTGACTGACAGTGTTGTATTCAGGGACAATTTTTAACACATCTTTTACATAAAAGAAGTTACTGATAATATCGCAGCGTCTACCTGCAGAAACGCGTCCTTCAAATCTTACAGGAGAGCAACAAAAATGTCATTATTAATGATAACAAAGATGTTATGTTATGAATTGGATATATAAACCATATAAAATATGTAATTTAATACTTTAATGACTTAGGTTTCAAAATACTTGTAAATTTTAAACAAAAGAACTTGCCCGGTTTTGTTTTGATTTTTGTCAATTTACATGGATTTGCACACGTAACAACAATCAAAGATTAATTAAAATGAAAATGTTTATTTCGTAAGCGTAGTGTAAACTAAAAAATAACGCAGCTATACAGGGTGGGTCACCACTAACGAGCCGAAAGATTACACCGAAACGGTAGAAGATTTAAAAAAAAATTTAATTTATAGTTTGAAGGTTGATAAAGGCTACATTTTAAAATTATTTTGAAATATACAGAGCGTCCCAATAAAGTGCGGCATATCAAAGTTAAGTTTTTTATAATGAGACACTCTATATTTTATTGCATTTTCTAATTGTAGGCAAAAAATAAGGTATGGTTTCATAAGACTTCCCTATACCTATATACAGAGTGTACTGACTTATGTGGAATATTCTTAAAATGTAAAGCTTTAAACAAAGACTCATTCCTAACTTATTTAAGAAATTCTAATAAAATTGGTTATATCTCTAAATAGTTGGATATTGGTTGAATGTATTTCATAATTAATTATTAAACATGTATTTACAGGGTGTTCAAAATTTGTAGTTTCAATATTGGATTATTCAATGTGTAATAAGGCCTATTTTAAAAAGAACACCTGTATATTATTGAATTATTAAATTAAAAAAATATTTCTCTTTCGAATGATATACGGATGTCCTATAACTAGGAGTGATAGATTTTGCGTAATTTAAAATTTTCTTATTGATTTCAAAATATTTACATATAGTTGTTATTCTCGATTTTAAACCCATCATTTTGACATATTTGTTATAAATGAAACCATGGACGTATAAACACTTATACGTCCATGAATGAAACTAATGTAGTTGTAAACAAATGTGTATACTTTATACTTTTACTTGCTTATACAACGAATCAGAGAGAATTTTAATAAAACAAATAATACAGAATAAACCCTAACTTACTACATTATAAGCAAAAAAATGTTTAAAGACGAGACATTCTCGGCTAATTTAAGCAATTATAACAAATTTTATCTTACAGCGAAATACTTGGATAATGGTTAAATTTATTCCATTATTGATTATTAACCCATGAAGGACTGGAGTTGCCATATGGCAACACTGGTATTGACGTACGAATCTTATTATTTTGAGGTTATGCTAGTTTGTTTTGTTTCCAAAAACGTGCCGGTCTGCAGAAAATAACTGATTTGAAGATATACACCTAACAAAAACTTAATTCGTTGGTGTTTGTGAGATTTTATAGTCACCGTTTTTGATAGTTGTAAAAATGGATATAAGATTTGTGTAAGTAGCTCAATTTGTCAATAACTTCTGAATAACTATTACATCTAAGTGACTAAAGTAACAATTATGCTCTAATAGAAAGGTCATTTTCCCTCTGTGAATATTTTTGACAACCCTTGAAAAAAAACGATATTTTACAATATTTTGTTTTTATTCATCGCGTTGCCATATGGCAACGCTAGTATCTACAGGCATCTTGTTTTTTCAGGCGGGGTTTCTCTCTACACGAAGCTTTGAACATGGTTTACGAAGATGACGTCAACGTTAGAAATATTTATGTTGAGCCCCCAAATATTGGAGACCTCACTGATGAAGATTCTGGCGAGGAGGATGGGGGAGGATTCATCGACAATCTGTCTAGAAAACAGCTGGAAGCAAATGTTGAGGTGTAAATGTATGGCGAAGAAGCAGACAAGGAGGATGACGACATCGAAGAAGATGCAGTTCAAGCGATGGATATTTCCCAGGAAAGCAGCGGAAGTTTCATCCCACAAACTACCTCTCAAGTGAAAATTGAATACGAGTCCCTAAATTGGATAACGTTCAGTAACATTCAATACGTTGACACCTGTCGAGATGTTCGAATTATTTTTCGACGAGGATATAATTAGTTACATTCTCAACCAATGCACGAGTTATGCACTACAGAACAACTTTCCCGACCCCAAAATTTCCGCAGGAGAAATGAGGTGTTTCTTTGCCATTTTAATTCTATCGGGGTATAATTGGCTCCCGGGAAAAAAAATTTACTGGGATACGAAAGGCGATATGGGTAATGCAATGGTCATGAACGCTATGCAAAGAGATCGGTTCCTTACAATTTGGCGTTTTTTCCACCTTGCAAATAATGAAGCCATCGATGAAAGGGACAAATATTACAAGATCAAACCCTTTGCTGACTATTTACAGAAAAAATATAAAGAATATTACGTCCCTGAAGGCGAATTAAATTACGACGAATCTATGGTGAAATACTTTGGACGCCACTCATGTAAACAGTTCATAAAAGGAAAGCCAATTCGTTTCGGATACAAAATTTGGTGCCTCAACACTAAAAGTGGGTATCTTATAAGCTTCAACATGTACCAAGGAACCGATCCCAAAGCAAATAATCATTATTATAAAGTTTTTGGAGCATGTGCGGCTCCATTCGTCAGAATGTTCGATAAACTGCCCAATGATAAATCAAGATTACCCTACAAATTTTACCGTCTAGTTCACTCTCAAGTCGTTCCTTTCATAGAGTATCTGATGATATTAGATAGGATGGAGTTGGGCATTTACTGGAACCAGTACCAAATAAAAAGAAAATTAGGTGTGCAGGTGAAGAATGCAAGTCGATCATGAGAACAAGATGCGCCAAGGTGAAGTAGGTTTGTGCACAAAGTGTAATGTTAAATTTCATACACAGCTATAGAAAGTTTTTTGCCCATTATCTCTCAATTTCATAGAATATTTTTTACTTTTATTTCTTTCGGTTAATGTAGCCATAGGAACCTAGCGTTGCCATTTGGCAACAGGCAATATTTTTAGGTTTTAATATATTTAATAATTATTTTTGTCTTTTTCTAAGTAAGTTTTGTCCATTCATAAGAGTTATTTGTATTATTTATGTAAAATAAAGATTTTCGAAAACTTTTTCCTTCATGGGTTAAACATTTATCTACAGAGTGTTAAAAACTTAGTTTCAATTTTGGATTATTCAATATCTAAGATTAGGCTTATTTTAAATGGAACACCATGGATATTCATTAACCATAATCCTAAAAAAGTTTCCTCTTTTGGTATAAAGATGTTCTATACTTAAGTCTCATAGTTTCTGCGTAATTTACAATTATTTAGACTCTTCATTGGTATATTGAATTTAAAACAAAAGATATAGTTAGTTAATGCCATTGTATGACATTGTCATTTTCTGATATTATAAACATTTGTCTGTAATATGTATACATATATATATATATATATATATATATATATATATATATATATATATATATATATATATATATATACATCTCTTACATATAGTCTTTTTTTGTGGTAATTTGATTCTAGTTTTTTTTCTATTAGGTGATTTTTTAGTTATTTATATATAAAATAGGTGATGAGGTCCTCAGAGTTCCATGGCAAACTCTTCTGCAGCTATCTACTTAATTTAATATCTAATTTACTATGGACTCTCCAAGTTCCTCATTTGTTCTCTTTTTTTTATTTTTATTTTTTTTATATATATTTTTTTATTTTTTATTTACTTTTTTTATTTCTTTTTCTATTAATTTTTTTTATATTTTTTTATGTTTTAACAAATTACAAAGAAATACCTACTCTATATTTACAATTACAATTTGAGTTTAATATCTAAAACGTGTTTATACAATAATCTATATAATAACTCATTGTTTTCTTTTTTTTTTGACATCCAATGTTTATTGCAATCTGTCTCATTACAAACAATAAGCAATATGTATAATTTATGTACAATAACATAGTGGGAAGCCGCCAGTGGCAAGCACCCAGGTAAGACATAATATAAATATAATAATGATATAACAATTAATTTAAACTTCAACTTAACAAACAAAGTTTAATACAGATAAACATCACTGACACACATATAAGTATTACAAGACTAAAAAATGAAAAAAAAAGAAAAAAAAAATCAAGAAAAGATTTAGAAAACACCAGAATAAAAACTTGTTATTTCACCGCACTATGACACTATGCTCTGTTTCTCTATGTTTACTAGATGTCCAAAGGGTCTGGTCGTTTTAATCTTCTTTCGTGTGAAATATTGTCCGTGGCAAGCGGATTTGGATGGCAGGATAGTCTGGTCTTGTATACAGCGTTTACGGCAGATATTGCTTCACTAACTGTTGGTAACTGTAAATCGTGATGTAATCTGTGGTTCGTAATGTACCAAGGGGCATTGCAGATGTGGCGCAGTACTTTCGATTGGAATCGTTGAAATTTTTGTATGTTGGTATTACTTGCTGTACCCCAGATTTGTGCTGCATATTGCCATACCGATTTTCTAATGTTAATAAATAATTTAAACTAATGGGATGATGGACATCGGTCAAAGAATACAGCAAATTAAAAAAATTATTAACCTTATTAGATATAAGAGAACAGTCCAAAATTTTATGTTGTAAGTTACTCATCTACTGAGAATATTTGAGCGCAAAATACTAAGGAAGATATGTGGACTAACCCAATGCAGCGATGGTTCGTGGATAATTAAAACGAACCACGAGCTGGATGAACTAATGCAGAGCGCAGGTATTGTTAGATTTGTAAAGTCACAAAGACTAAACTGGCTTGGTCACCTAGAAAGAATGCCAGATAATCGAGCTGTAAAAGTAGTCCAGAGATGGAAGCTCCAAGGAAACAGAACAAGAGGAAGGCCCCATAAAAGATGGATAGGCAACGTAGAGAGGGATCTTAAAACCATGAACATCAGGCAGTGGCGAAGGAAATTA